TATTAAATTGGCATTCCATGATGCACACCTTCCCGACACGATCGCTGAAGACAAATGTGTGCATAAGCAAATGTGGTGAAAAAAGTTGATGGTGCCGGGCTATCAAAAGATATAGCGCCTGGGGTCTTAAAGGCTTGAAGATAAACAAGCAGCCATCTAGCTCAGAAGCAACAAAGCCCACATGGAAGAAGCATACCAGCCTGTGTGACCACGAGGTGTCGAAGGGTTCGGGTATCAGGCATCAAAGAACAAAAATTCGTATCATTGTGAATAAGGGTGAGTGCATAGTAGAGACCCAAAGCCCATCTGTAGGCAACTGGACACCCCCTTACAGAAGGGTCACAGGGAGGAGACGAGCCAGTCAGGTTGCAGGGTAGCAATGATGAAACTTACAACTTTCCTGTAGTTGTTAAATGCTTCCTCCCCCTACTATCATGATCCCAATTCTACTTTACAAATCTGGCTAGACCAGAGGATGTACTTTGGTACAGAGAGGAACTGGAAACACTGGGAATCCAGGACAGATGACCCCTTCAGGACCTGTGGTGAGAGTGGCAATACCTGAAGGTTGGAGGGAAGGTGGGGTAGAAAGGGGGAACTGATTATAAGGATCTACATGTAACCTCCTCCCTGGGGGATGGACAACAGAAAAGTTGGTGAAGGGAGACATTGGACAGTGTAAGACATGACAAAATAATAATAATTTATCTAAGATTCATGAGGGAGAGGGGAGCAGGGAGGGAGGAGGAAAATGAGCTGATATCGAGGGCTCAAGTAGAAAGCAAAGGTTTTGAGAGTGATGACGGCAACAAATGTACAAATGTGCTTGATACAATGGATGGATGGATGGCTTGTGATAAGAATTGTACAAGCCCTCAATAAAATGAGTTTTTAAAAAACTGAAAATTATGTTAGTAAGTTCAGTTCATTATAACTCAAATATATTGTGAGTCAAGGACTACCTTGACTATGGAAATTTCTTCAACTTTACCTTATAATTCTCCTTTTATGACTTTTTAAATTTGCTTTATTGTGGTGAAAATATACATAACAAAATATACATCCTCTCAACATTTCTACATGTCCATTTCAGTGACATTCTTCATTTTGTGCTATTTTTTATCCTTTATTTTTTCAAATTGTTCTACCACACTAAACATAAACTTAACTTTCCCCTCTCTCTCACCCCTAATAATCACTAATAATCTTTTGTTTATATATACTTGCTTATTGCATATAAATGAAATCATATAATGTTTGTACTTTTGTGATTGACTTATTTTGCTCAAAATAATATTCTCAAGGTTTATCCATGTAATAGCATGACTGAGTAGTATTCTGTTTTGTAAATATTACTACATTTTGTTTACCATATATGCTATCAAAATTTATGCTTCACTTTCATGTGTCTTTATATGTTATTGCCCTTTTTTGAATACTTTTTTGTCATTTTAGTAGGCTGGGAAGGAGCAAAGATAAGGAAATGTGTTCAGTCTGCTATGAGTTCTTAATAGCCCTGTACAATTCTGGGAGAAACAGAGTTTTAAGGAATATTGGAAGAAACATTTAATATATTTTAATATGCTTTATTATAAAAATTAGAAACCGAACCTAAAGATAGTCATTTTGTGCATTTATCTATTGCTTGCCATTGTGATCAAACAGGAGTTAGTAAGTTAAGCTTGTTATAGGATTATTTTTCTCTCACCCAGTGAGAGTGTTTTGAGTATCTATGGATACATTAACTTTCAAATGTTTTGCTCTCTGTCCCTTATTTACACATTCTGTGTAATAATCCTTAATACTTTATACGTCGTTAGGATCATAAATTATTTAATTACAATCTTATGTGAAGGTGGCCTTTTATATTTATAAAAGCATTATTTTTGTTTGTTTGGCTAGAGCTCCAGAACTATTCAGTTATATAGCCAAAAACAGCCAAGAGGATGTGTTTTATGAAGATGACATTTGGCCAGGAGAAAATGAAAATGGGTAAGTAAAATTTGTGATATTTATTGCCTTATGGTTCAAAATTGTGGTTTCAATAAAAGATGTAGCTGGTTTGCCAAGATTTTCTTACGTTACTGAGTTTTTTTGTTTGTTTTCTTTTTCCTTCAGGTTCTAATAGAATCTTTAATTTTATTCATGTCAGTAAGAGTATTTTAAAAATCTTTGGAATTTATTTTTATTACTGAGAAGTAGTATGTCCATTTTTATATTAGATTTATAATTAGTAAAAATGAAGTTTAGTGATGAACCATTAATTACATAGTTGATTTTCTTATAACTTATAGCCCTCAGAAAGTTTGTATCAGTCCTTTTGTGTTATTGTTTTTAATATAGTGCTGAGAAAGTGCAAGAGATTATTACTTGGCTAAAGGGACATCCTGTCAGTACTTTGTCTCGTTCTTCTTGTGATTTACAAATTCTGGATGCAGCTATTGTTGAAAAAATCGAAGAAGAAATTGAAAAGTGCAAGGTAATAGTCTTTAATAACCAAGATTATTGATGATATTTGAAGTTAAGTGTGAATGTTAATTTACAATTAAGCATTTCTCTTTTAATTAATTCCAATTAATGTCCTGTAATTATCATTGAGATCCATTGGTTAACTCAGAATTTAAATTTGTTAGGGCTTTCAACTGGTTCTGCTGAGTTCATGCATGACCCAGGAAGCATCACCAGGACAGACCCCAATTTTTAAAGCAATAATGAACCGGAAAGATGCCTGAAACAGGAAAAATGATAGGCCAGAGCCTTGCTAGAAGCTTAATCTCTTATAAAAGCGAGACAGGTTACACATTGCATAGCACCCACATCTCTTGCCCTTGGATTTTGAGCACAGTCGAAGGCAGTACCGCACTCCTGCTCACAGATGGCACCCTATCAAACCTGTCAGCACAGTTGTGAGCTGTGAAACTACTTTGAAAGTGTGTGCTTTCCACGGTCCTGCCAATAAACTAGTCTCTAATCAGGCTCCTGAAAGGGCTCACTACACCACTTCTGAGCCTCCCATTTCAGGGCTTTGCCCATAATTTTTCCCATTCTGGGTACTACCGGGCTATTCCTCTTTCGCTTCACCTTCTCAACTCTGACAGTACCAATTTAAATGCCGGGTAGCAGTAATTCAAAAAAAGTTCAAAAAAAAATCCAACCTTTTGTAGCAGCTATTAATAACTTTCTGAGGACTTGGGATGAATAAAAATGTATTGAAATATATGAAAGCATAGCATTAAAATTTTATGTCCTTGTATTTCTAGTTTATTTAACTCTTGCAGAATTATCTCTGAAATATACTTTTTGACATATAAACTCATTCTAAGGTTTTTTTAAATCGCACATAATCTCTTTTGTTTTACAAGTCTTATTTTAAAAAGCAGTGAATTTCTATAATGAACATGCTTATTTTATCTATTTTTATCCCTTATCTTGATGCAGTAAAAAATGGGGTAATATTTTTTATTATTCTCAAATTTACTTTTACATTAAAATGATTTTTCTTGAAGACATCTTCCCCATTCCCTGACTTTCAAGCCCTCTTTTTACTACCTGCTAGCCTGTCAGGAAAGACTTATGAACCTTTCCATGCCTCTATTTCCCAATGATAAAATGAGAATAAAATAATACCTCCCAAATCGTCAAAAATCAAATGAGGGACCAGCAATGTCAGACAGAACGAGGGGACACGACCTAGGCAGGCCAGAGCTGCTGCCGCCGCCATGACCTGCGGTAACCGACGCATGCTTGCCCGCCAGAAGAATATGGAAAAGCAGAGTGCCTCGGTTAAGGTTAAGGGAAAGCGCTGAGATGACTGGCTGCTGCCCGCAGCACAGGGACTCGGAGATCATGCAGCAGAAGCAGGAAAAGACAAACGGGAAGAAGGAGGAACCCAAAGTAGCTTTGTGGCCTCAAGTGTCCAACCCGCTTGCCCTCCTCCTGTGTGCCTGGTGCCAGTCCTACCAGGCTCACATTCCTCCTATAATGCTCGCAGGTCCAGCACCGATGGCATGCCCTTTGCCCTGAGTCTGCAGCGGGTCCCTTTTGTGCTTCCTTCCACTCTGGTAACTCCTGTCCTCCTGGGCCACACCTGGGTTACCCCTTCCCAGTGTTTTTTATTCCTGTGGGGCTCACCCCAAAGTATTAAATGTAGCTTTATAATTAAAAAAAAAAATCAGAGTAAATACATATAAAAATTCTACATATGATGTATGTCTGTTACTATAAAAAACAAACAAAAACACTGCCATTAAGTCAATACCAACTCTTAGTAACTCTTTATAAGAGTAGAAAGCCCCGTCTGTTCTCCTGAGGAGCAGGCGGTAGTTTCAAACTGCTAACCTTGTAATTAGCAGCCCAATACTTAACCACTGTGTAACCAGGACTGCGATAACTATTACTAGTGTCTAAAAATGTTTAGAAGGATCACTGGTGCCTTAGTAGGTTATTGAGCTATTAGCCTCAAGGTTAGTGGTTTGAACCCACCAAGGTGTAAAACAGTCTTGGAATCCCAACTGGGCAATTCTTCTCTGAGCTATAGGGTCACTATATGTTGGATCCAACTCGTTCACAATGGGTTTGATTATTTTGCTTTAGTAATGTGTGAAGAGAACCTCCCAGTAGGTAAATCCTTAGCTGGTGATTCCAATGGTTGACAGTTAAAGCCCATCAGCAACTCTTCTGGACAAAACACCTGTGGGGATCTATTCCCATAGATTAAAACCTAAAGGCACTTCTGCTTAAGGAGTCTTGATGGTGCAATGGTTGTGTGCTCAGCTACAACCCAATCGATCTGCTTGTGTAAAGATTTCAGCCTTGGGAACCCTATGGAGCATTTCTACTCTTTGTGATAAGGTTGCTGTAGAGTCATTTTAGGGTCTCTATGAGTTGGAATTGACTTGATGGCCAATGTATTTTACAAATCAGAATCACTACTCACTGGCACACAACAAGGCTCTGAGTACTTAGGTGATATAAACATTAAGTGTGCTTTCCTGCTAACGGAACAGTTTTGCAGTGTGAATCCATCCAGAGGTGCCTTAGACTAGGCCTGGAAAATCAACTGTTGAAAACCTTGAGGAGCACAGTGCTACTCAGTCACACATGGAATCATCAAGAGTTGGAATAAACAACCTGTTGAAAAAAATAACGCTTATCAGAGTTCGTTAATCATATCCTCAAGAATTATGAATTTAATCTGAAAAAAATCACCACTTGATAATACTTTTTCTCTTGAGGAAAAACGGGTGAGAGGCTGTACTTCGAATTTTAAAAGGTGGTTGATACTCAGCTAAGAGTTGAAAAGTTTATGTTTCATTTTATTTTTCAATGTAAAGTAAAATCCATTTCTCCAGTAATATTGAAGTGAATTTTCCATTTAACATAGTTTATAACTTTAAGCTCCCAAATTTAATTGTACCCATTTGGAAGCAGGGCTCTCTAAAATCCTTTAAACATTTTTCCCTTCCTTTATAAAGAGAACATACATATATGAACATATGAAATAATAGACCAAAAAATCTATTATTTTCATTACAACGTTTAAAAATTCTATGTATATAGAGAGTAAAACAGAAGGTGGTTTTTTTTTTAACTTCTTAATGTGTCAAGCAGGTGCAGATACTGGATTTTTCTAGCCTAAGAGTATTTCTTTTTATTTTGAAAGTGTTATGTTATTAGGATAATAAAAGGAGAGAATACTGAAAAAACAAACATTATTAATGTAATTTAAGCTTTTTATTTTTATTTTACTGGGGGCTCGTACAACTCTTATCACAATCCATCCATCCATCCATGGTGTCAAGCACATTTGTACATTTGTTGCCATCATCATTATCCAAACTTTTGCTTTCTACTTGAGCCCTTGATATCAGCTCCTCATTTTCCCCCTCCCTCCCTACCCTACTCCCTCATGAATCCTTGATAATTTATAAATTATTATTTTGTCATGTATTACACTGTCCGACGTCTCCCTTCACCCACTTTTCTGTTGTCTGTCCCCCAGGTAGGAGGTTATATGTAGATCCTTGTAATCGGTTCCCCCTTTCTACCCCACCTTCCCTCCACCCTCCCGGTATTGCCACTCTCACCACTGGTCCTAAAGGGGTTCATCTCTCCTGGATTCCCTGTGTTTCCAGTTCCTATCTGTACCAGTGTACATCCTCTGGTCTAGCCAGTTTTGTAAGGTAGAATTCAGATCATGATAGTGCGGGGAAGGAAGCATTTAAGAATTAGAGGAAAGTACTGTTTCATCATTGCTACACTGCACCCTGACTGGCTTGTCTCCTTCCCATGACCCTTCTGTAAGGGGATGTCCAGTTGCCAACAGATGACCTTTGTGTCCCTACTCTGCACTCCAGCTCATTCACAATGATATGATTTTTTGTTCTTTGATGCCTGATACCTGATCCCTTCGACACCTTGTGATCACACAGGCTGGTGTGCTTCTTCTATGTGGGCTTTGTTGCTTCTTAGCTAGATGGCCACTTGTTTATCTTCAGGCCTTTAAGACCACAGATGCTGTATCTTTTGATAGCCAGGCACCATCAGCTTTGTTCACCACATTTGCTTATGCACCCATTTGTCTTCAGCAATTGTGTCAGGAAGGTGAGCATCGTGGAATGCCAGTTTAATAGAACAAAGTGTTCTTGCATTGAGAGAGTACTTGAGTGGAGGCCCAATACCCATCTGCTACCTTAATACTAAACCTATAAATTTATGCACATAGATCTGTTTCCCCAGTAATTTAAGCTTTTTTTGTGTGGTACAGGGTTATCATTAAAAGTATCAGTAACTTTTTTATTAGATAATTCTGTTTATTTATTTTTTAAATCATTTTATTGGGGGCTCATAACAACTTTTATCACAATCCATACATACATCAATTGTATAAAGCACATTTGTACATTCATTACCATCATCATTCTCAAAACATTTACTCTCCACGTAAGCCCCTGGCATCAGCTCCTAATTCTTAGCTTATTATCAGAATTCTGATAGAGTGTCTCAAACTTTATATGCAAAGAATTCACCAGTGGAACTTGTTAAAATATAAATTCTGAGTCAGGAAGCCTAAGGTAGGGCTTAAGATTCAGAATTTGGAACTAGCTCAGTGTCCATCTGTATTAGTCTGGGTAGTTTAGAGAAACAAATCCATAGAAACTCATACATATAAGAGAGAGTTTTATATAAAGGGTAAGTGTGCATCAAGAAAACATCCCAACCCCGTGCTGCCCAAGCCCACAAGTCCAATATTAGCCCCTATGTCCAACACCAATCCACAAAGTTCCCCTCCATCTCACAAAACATACTCAGTGATGCCGACTGCAGGAGGAAAGCTCAATCAGTGAACGTGTCAGCATCTCAGCGCTGGCAGGGGTCTCCACAAAGATACTCCAGCACCCAGGGCTGCATCGGGGTAGGTCCATGCTGCTTCTCAGGGATGTCTTGAAGGAAGTGAGCCTTGCCAGCTGAAGCAAGGAACTGGCAAAGGCAGCTGCACCCTGGTGCGACCATCAGAAAGCAAGAGACCTGAGAACTAGAAAAGTGAGGCTCACTAAGCCATTTATCTCTCCGCCCTTCAATTTAACCCCACATATGTTTATCGGCTAGGTTGGCACAATAAACTTTAACTCAATCAATCCACCCCTTGCCAACTTGGCACCTGTACATCATTCTTTCGTCTCACAATTGCAATTAAGTAACACTTACACTTTAATCCTATAATCCTGTGAATATGTACCCCCACCTATGAAAGTTTGTAAGCCAACCACTTCATGCCTTTATCCCCTCAATTTTGAGTATCCAATTTATGTACTGCCCACTTACATCAACCCAGTTCTCTGAGGAGACAATCATATTTTTCCACATGAAGAAATCTTCATTCCAGTTGGAACCTTGTGAAGTCCACATCCATAAGCAAAGTCAAATCCGGACAGGCCATCCATAAATCAGCAACAATATGCACCAGTTCACAGGCTCAAAAATCTCCATCTAGTCGGGTTCTGGTCAACTCAACGTGGGCTGCCTCACTCAGCCTCCACAGGGTGCCCATTGGTCGCCTTGCCTTTAGACCATGGGCTCTCACCAATACTCAACAAGCCTAGCCCCCTCGTGCTAGGTCATAAACCTTAGACCAGTCAACCCCCTCTCATCTTTTTTTACCTGTAAACCAGTGTCAGTGGCCAAACTCAACCCATCTCTTTATTGCTGCATTGCTCCCACTTCTAATCAACAAGTAGATCCAGGTGGTCACCTAGCCATCCTCTCAGCCTGCCAACAAGCTCCCTTTAACGGTCAGGCCCAGAGAAGAGTTTTCTTCATGGTTCCAGATTTTTTCCAGCTTCTGACAAAGACCATTGTTTCCTGAGTACTCCAAAGCACTGGGTGGGGCCTATCTTTTCAAGGCTTTCTTTGCAGGTGTGGCCTAACTCCATCTAAAGATCAATTTTTAATGGCTGAAAGCAAGTGGGCTTACAAACTTTCTATTTTCATACTTCCCATGTTTTTCCCAGAAAACAACCAAGTAAACAGTGTGGCTTTATCTGACCTCTGGCTAGACACAGAAGAAAAACTACTGTAAAGAGGAACTGAGGAACAGGAAGGAAGACAGACATAACTGACAGGACAATGGAGAGCAGAAACAGAAATAGCATTATTAGCGGGTCGGGGAGCTCCCAGAGGAGGATCTGTGACCCAGGCCTACAGGTCAGGGAAGTCATACTCAGCAGCTGGGGTCTAGGCTTTTTAAAGGAGTGGTGAGGAATGTATGGCAATTAGCATATGGGGTCTGGAAACTGGGAGAATTTCTTATCAACTCCTTGAGGCTTTCTTCAAACCCAGAACATGTGGTTTCACTGGTTAGCTTATCTGGCCGTTATCTTATCTGGCGCCATCTGCTGCTGATCTTTGGGATGGGCAGGGAAGGAAGTGTAGGGCCTGGACCTGCTTTAGCTTAGTCCAAACGGGCTGCCTAGTTCAGACCCGTCCCAAACAACTACCATAAGGGAGAGTTCAAACAAACATCTACTCTCCATCTTATGATTTGCTTCTCCAGTACCCCACTCCCAAAGTACCATAATGTACCCAGACTAACAAACCATATTTTGAGTAGCCAGAGCTAGAACTTGGCGTTCAGTACCTGGGGGTGAGACATACTGTGAAAGTTCTCCAAGTGATTCATTTGCCTGAGGTTTGCTTGTTATGTTGTCTTAAGCACTATACTGTAATAATGCCAAGTGATGTATTATATTGTATAGAGTTTTGTTTTTGTTTTTTCACTAAATAATATCCAGGCACAGTACTTCTGAGTTTAAGCTTGATTCGGAGTTTTCCCACTTTTAACGTCCCAATTATTTCTTCTTGCTTGCTCATGTCAGTGGACACCAGTTGTACTCTCTTAGTTCTTCTGTTCTGCTGTGGTGGGAAATATCTTGTCTTCATAAAAGGACCTTTGTTGGAAGAATAAATGAACTCTTTATATAATGAAAGAAAATGACTGTTAAAAGACTGAAACATTTTACAGGATATAAGTATATCTGAACTCTATATTTTATGCACTCTGTAACTTGTACTCATTTCCAACAGCTATAAATGTCTGCTATGAAAATAAAATACTAGCAATTTTGTTATTAAATAAAATTTACTATAAAATGTATTTGTTTCAATGTTTATAAATTATGTTTGTGTTATTAGAACAAATAATATTGTTTCTACCTTATGAAAAGATGAAAAGAAGCTGATAATTAGAGTCGTTAAAGTGTGCATTCACAGAACTAACCAAGTGGCAAAATAGAGGAAATTCTTTTGAGTTTCAATTTGCTTTCAAACAACAAAACTTCAAAGGCAATTTTACAATGGATTCTGAAGGCAAGGGCTTGTTAAATGAATGCTATCTTAATTTTTATATGTATGTATCTGCAACTCCACAATATTTTTGTAAATCATTAATTATATATCTGGTTTGTTTTCTTTAATGCTAATCTGTGTTGCCATTGTACTATTTTAGGAGTAAAAAACCCTTGAATTAAATAAAAAACCAAATTCAGCTTCAAGAAAGGAAACATTACTAAATACAACAAAGGAACCTCTCCTCCCCCAATGCCCACATTCTTTCTCAGGTTGCCACCTGTCTCCAAAATAACCTTACTCCTGACACAAAGGATCAGATCTGCATTTTAAAATATTATATACATGGTAATGAATTCAAGGAGTCTTGGTGGGCTAGGTCCTTGAATTTCTGGCTAAAAATTTTAAAGTGCTCTTCTACATAATAGGAAACTTCTGAAGGCACCCTGGTGGTGTAGTGATTACACATTGGGCTGCTAACCACAAGGTCAGCAGTTGGAAACCACCAACTGTTCTGCTGGAGAAAGATGAGGCTCTGCTCCTGTAAGGATCCAGTCTCAGAAAAGCAAGGGAACAGTTCTGCTCTATCCTATAGGGTCTGTACGAGTTGGAATCAATTCAACAGCTGAACAGTTGGTTTCTTTTCTTGAACTTGAGTGTGATTACATAAATGCTCACTGTATAAAGATCCACTAAACCATAATTCCAAATACATAAGTCAAAAATTATAAGTATGTAAATCTTGCATTTTTCTATATGTAATAGTGTAGCAAAAAACTTTTTAAAAGTGTATCTAGGCAGCATGCATTTTATAGTTTTGGGCTGTTTGTGCAGAAATTTCAAATATACTTCAAAATTGACTTTCCTTTGCTCTTCAAATTCAGGCATAAAAGTACTTGAATAATTTAATGTTTTGTTTGTGTATTAGAAAATAATTTAAATGCTTCTTTCATTTTCTCAGCAAAGAAAGAATAATAAGAAGGTCCGAGTGACAGTGAAGCCCCATTTGCTGTACAGAGTAAGTTCCATACCAAAGAATTCACAGTGGCTTTTACTTTGAAAATATATAAAGGGAGAAAATTGGTTTTAATATTTTAGTATAAATGTTTTCTCTCAATTTAGAATGAATAGCTTTCTTCTCTTCAGCCTTTAGAACAGCAGCATGGAGTCATCCCTGATCGGGATGCAGAATTTCATCTATTTGACCGAGTGGTAAACGTGAGAGAGAACTTTTCAGTTCCCGTTGGTCTTCGAGGCACCATTATAGGAATTAAAGGAGGTAAGATCGCAATACTTGACATGGCTTTAACTGCATTTATAGTAATAAAAGCAACTACAAATCGGCGGGGGGAGGGGGGGGAATGAATCCTTTCAATACTAGTTTTATTTTGTTTTGAAGTTATATTTTCAGGAAAAAAATTCTTTTCTGTTTTGTGTAATAATTTGGAAAGTGATTATATGAAAAGGGAAGTTGAGAAAGATCTGCTGAGAATCTGTAGAGTCGTATCTACCACATTGCAATTTTATGAGGCCTTAACAAGATCGACTAAATTTTGATGAAGTTTTTAGCACCTTCTGAATCTTTCATTGACTCTTGCTCAGAGAATTACCTTATTATAATTTTAATTTTATTTCTGTAATAAAGGCTGAAAATCTTTTCATGTGTATATTTGCCATCATTGTTTGGTAGAGAGCCAGTGGTAAAGAGGAAGAACCTCAATGGCATAGATTGGCACAGTGGCTCCAACAGTGGGTTCAAACATAACAATTGTGAGGATGTGACAGGACCGGATAGTGTTTTCCCTGTTGCACCTGGGGTTGCTCTGAGTTGCAGCTGAGCCAAAGGCCCTTATACCAACAACACCTATTCAACTATGTTACCCATTAACAAAGATAGGCTATTTATCTTAAGGTTGTAACCTCTTTGTTTCTGTGGAGAAAAAAAACAAGCAAGTTTATTTACAGTTAAAAGAATTGAAAAATTAAATTTATATATTAATTTAAACTTCTGTTGATACAACTAGATTGTGCATAGAAAACAGACATATCAGGGAAATGATTCCTTTTGGCTTACAAAAATCCAATTAAAATCCAATTAAATCTCTTTAAAAATTCCCAAAATAAATACCAATAATAAGGAATTTTTATTAAACTCAATAAATCCAGATAAGTGAATCCCACAAGTTTGAAGGGACTTCAGAAAGTTCATGGAAAAATATGGAATTAAGGATAAAATGTAAACTTTTTTTTCTTCAACATAAGCACAATCACATTGCAAGTAGTTTAGACCATCTCTAATGAATTGTGTGGGGGTCCAAGGAATTTCCCAGGTCCATGCAATCTTTTTTACATTGTTAATGGAAGAAAAATGAGTGTCTTTAAAATTTTATTTTCCCCCAAGATTAGGAAGCCAAAAGAAGTCAGAGGCTCCAAATCAGGACTGTAAGGTGGATGTGTAATGGTTTTTTCATGGAAACTCCCCGAAGTTTGATGAAAGAAATAAGCAGGAGCATTTTCATGATGAAGGACAGGAGTTTTTCTATTAAAGCTTTGGCTAACTTTCCCAAACATAGTATGTAGGGTTTCTAAGTCTGTAAATCTCTGTGAGAGCACACAGCTTTTTCTTTCTCCCAGGGAGTGGCTGGTGGGTTTGGACCGTGGCCTTGCACTTAGCAGCCCAACACCTAACCCACAACACCAGCCTCCTTAAAGAACAGTACTGGAATCATAAATATAGAATTCAAAATTGTAGTTATGTAGTGAGGAAATGGGGACAAGATGTTTTTTCCAAAATATTGATTTTCTGTTTCTTAACCTACATGGTGGTCATTTTATTATGATGATGATGCCATTTTCACATTCCAAATATTTTATACAAATTTTAAAAATAAATGCTTTAGAGCATTCCAAAAAATTTTCATCATGCTGCTGATTTTTCATCATGGATTTTAATCTCCCTCATGCTCCTCCCTCTCTCTTTTAACAGCTAATAGAGAAGCAGATATACTATTTGAAGTACTATTTGATGAAGAATTTCCTGGGGGTTTAACAATAAGGTTTGTATTTCCAAGAGGTAACTGCACTTTATGAATATATCCAGATGGTGGTTATATTTTACATTGTCTTCTTTACTTGTTTCTTGATTCATCCCAAACGTGACTTCTAATTATATACTTTGTATTATAGACATAACTGTGAAATAAACAAACATAGTTTGTAGTCTTATGAAACTTTTATTCTTTGAGGGAGATAATTAAGTGGCTGATTGCAATATTAATTACTTGATTAAAATGTTTCAAAGGTAGAAAAGAGAAATGCAGGTTACTATACAAATACCAGGCGTATTGAAGTGATATTTGAGATGAGCCTTGGAGAATGAGTGATAGCTAACCAGGGGAGAGAGGAGGAAGCGGGAAAGGGAGGGCGCATGTGTAAGGGAAGGGCATTTTCACCCACTCCAGGAACTAAGCCTCAGGAGTACATATGGCAAGAGTAGGAGAGAAAAGCCATATCCACACTATGCAAGGACTTATGGGTAAAACTGGACTATGTTTTGGCAATGCACTCAATTAAAAAAAAGATTAAAGTTATAGGAGAATAGATCATGATAGAATGAGAGGCAAGGCACCATCCCTACCACTAAAGTTCGTGTTACCTTGAGTAAGTGAGTCAGAAATATTCTAACCCTCAGCTGGTATACTCAGGGTCTCCATGAGTCGGAGTCAGCTCTACAGCAGGTAACAACCAGCACAGTCCTTATATCAATTGATCACCTTGCAGCGGGGATATACCTATTTACCTAGTGCCTTTCTTGTCTATACTCTTCAAAAGCAGTAGCAGTTTGGATCATACATTTGATTTTACATGAAAATGTTTATTTATAATGTTAAAACTTTCAAAAACATATTTTAAGATAATTAATTTTGTTCTAAGTATATTTTTCCATCATAGTTCAATTAATATCTTGATTAATATTTGTAAGGGCTTAAAAAAAGGAGGGGCTTCCAAAAGTTATGGAAAATTTTCATTATCTTTTAATTCCATTCTTCCACAAACTGTTTGAAACATTGTATAATAGAGGGCTGTGTGAAAATTGTATACCTATAGCATATCCATTTTTATAATGTAATCTTTAGTATGTGTATCCTCACATATAAAAATAGGTATTCTAGAAATCTTCAACTTGATAAAGATTTCTTCTAATTCTGCTTTACAGTGTCTTGCAGTATAAGAAAATTATATTCTCAGAGAAAAAAATTAGTTGATAGAATTGAAAGCACTTGACAAAAGAATGTTTATTTTAACATCTAATGCTTTTATTGGAGCCAAAAAAAAAGAAATACAAGTAATTATCTCTTAAGCCTTCCCAACTCCAAGACCCCAGAATGTTAGGATGGGATCATGAGGATTTCAAAGAACCGAATTCATTTAGTGATCAAGAAAGAAAAAGTAACACTTGCCTGGTTGCATAGGTTGAGCTGCAGCTAGAAGGGGCGCACACATGGGCGTTCTCTGTACTTTCATAGTCCTGACTGTACAAGCCGCAATTTTTTAAAAAAGAAATTCACCATTGAATTAAAAAATATCCAGTTAGACTCAGCTCTTAAGTTGTAACTTGTGGTATGCTATATGGTATGCTGTTACACTCCACCAGAGCAAGCAGGCACACATACATCATACACCTACATCTCTACAAGTTTTAGTTGTTAGGTTGATTTTGTTCCCATTTAATAAGTACTGAATAGTTTATTTGTAAGGAAACTTCAGAAATTTATCATGTATACATTCAGATCTTTGAATTCAAGCTCCTCTGCTGAATTAAAAATAATGATTTTTCATTTTGATGATGGAATTGTTTGATGGGTACGGCTGAATTGATTCATAATAACCTCATGTGACAATTAGAACTGCTAAATAGGTTTTTCTAGACTGTAATCTTTTGGGGAAGAGATTGCCACCTTTCTTCCCTGGAGCCACTAGTGCAGGCATCCTCAAACTACGGCCAGTGGGGCACATGCGGCCCGCCGGTCGGGTGTTTTTGCCCCATTTGGTTTTTACTTCAAAATAAGAGATGTGCAGTGTGCACAGGAATTTGTTCATAGTTTTTTTTTAAACTATAGTCCGGCCCTCCAATGGGTCTGAGGGACAGTGAACTGGCCCCCTGTTTAAAAAGTTTGAGGACCCCTTCACTGGTGGGTTCAAACTGCCAACTTTATAGTTAGGAGCTAAGTACTTGATTATAGCACCACCAAGGCTCCCTACCCACCACACGTAAAATTATTGTATTCTTCTGGTCCCTAGTTCATCTAGTCTTATTATCCTCTGACTCTGATAATATATTTTTAGGTGCTTACCTGGTAGAGGTTATCGATTGCCAACAAGTGCCTTAGTGAACCTTTCTCACGGGAGCCGCTCTGAAACCGGGAGTCAGAAGTTGACAGCCATCGTGAAGCCACAACCAGCTGTAGATCATTCTAGCTCCAGCTCATCAACCTCCTCTGGGCATTTGGGAGGCCTCAACCACTCCCCTCAGTCGCTTTTTATTCCCACGCAAGTAAGACCCTGTCTTTAGTATTTCTCGACCCCTTGACAAATCACGAGCATATTTTGTAAGCATAATTGACTAATGACTAGTTAAAAATCCAATTTGACTAGTTAATCTTTATGTGAGATGTTTGGGCCAAGTCAATTTTGGTATTTTTTCATTCTCATAAGCTAAACAATACTTTAAAAAAGTAATTTTGTTGTTATATACTTCACATATCATACATTTTACTCATTCAGTCATACTAAAATGAACTGTGCAATCACCACAATAAATTTCAGAACATTTTCTTCTCATTATTGTTAGTTCCCCTTTTCCCTCTCTCGGATTTCATATTCAGAAATTCATACAGAACAAACAAATAACAACAACAATAAATAGCAAGGACTAGACAAAACAAAAAACTATCAAAAAGAAAGCAAAGAATATTAAAAATGGAAACAACTTTAAAATAGGTTAAAGGGGAGATTAAATGAGAAAGCATTACTTTTTAACCTAACCACATTTACCATAATCGACTTTACAGTGCTCTCTATCTGATAGTAAAGCTATTCACACATCCCTGGACTGTGTTCAGAAAGGATTGACCAGAGGCTTAATTCATGTGTGGACCCTGCATGTGAGGAACAGAGGGATTTCTCTTAAGTTGTCTCCCCAAAATATATGCTAGACTTAGCTTGAGAATAATTGTTCACTAGGCAGCAAAAGTAGGTCAGAGGTTATTCTCCCTAACATCAACTATCAAGATTGGATTGGGAGTCATTCTCACAGAGAGGTATCAGCTGTCTAAATCAAGCAGACACCACTGCTTATCCCACAACAAATAGGGCCCATTCCTTTCTGTTATTGTTCCCTCAAAGCAGTGCCCAAAGGCAAGCCCAGGACCACTCTAAGATGACTAGGTCATCCCTCTCCTATTGCTTGTATTGCCTATGTTGCAATCCCTCCCTATGACGCAGGTTGTTGTGAATTGTATTGCCCCTCTCTGTGATGCATGATGCTGTGATGTATCCCCCTAAAGTAATATGATGCGTGGTTAGCAATAAATAAGGAGGCTCCCTGGCTCTCGGGAGGGTGGCTGGCAAAGGGCGGCTGAGAAAGGAGGGCTGCTTCCCATGAGGGCTGCTCCCATGAGGGCGATGGACGGGAGGGCTGCTCCCGCGAGGGAGGCGGCTCCTGCTCTGGCAGCCGGGTTCCCCCCACGAGGACCACCAAGCGGGGCGGAGGTGAGCAATGCTACCATGTAATATGTCTGACTGTATTATTGTATTATCTCTCATGCTCTCGATGACTTTAATATAATACTTCTATATCTCAACCGTACAATTGTGCATTACTGAACCCAGAAGTAGTATTACTGAACCAGTGAGTTCAAGCAGTGGGTGGGGCTGGCACCCCACTCCCTCATTGTCACTTTTAATTTAATACTACACCTGCAAAAGGATTTTTGGACTTCTACCATCTATCCATTGCCTTCTGCAAACAAGATGTTCAGGATTTAAGCTCTGACACCATTCCCTGATTTAGATTTGGATTTTATTATTTACAATCCTGGTGTCACACAGATTAGTGTACTTCTTCCATAAGGACTTAGTTGATACCTCACTTAGATGGCTACCTCTTTGAAAACAAACCTTTAAAATTCAGATACTGTTCTTTGTGATAGTTGGACACCATCTGGTCTCTTAACTACATTTTGGTATAGCACCCATATCTTCAGTGGCCATTCATGAATGTGAGTATCAAGTAGCATCATGTCATAGAACGAATTGTTCACAGATTGAGGCTAGAATTAAATGCAAGCCCCATATCCATTCATATATAAACTCATATATAGTTCATGTATATCTCTGATTCACTTTAGAGACATCGTTATCATTTTATGACAGAGAACATTATAAATCACGCCCCTGAGCATCAAGTAATTCTATTGGTAGTGTCATTAATTTAACCAATGGTGTAGAATTTAAAACACTGCTGAGAAAAGGAAATTAACAAGTATAGGTTGGCTTTGGACTACAGTACATGAATATATGACTTGTACAGATGAAACTCTTAAATAATTAGCCACTATTTACACAAACTATGGATTGGTAATAGGGCAAAACTTTCAATAACACTCATTCTCAAAAGCAGAAAAATGCCCACCAGACTAATAAAATACATGTTATCAGAAAGCAAAGAGAACATTAAAACAGTAAATAAATGGTAGTCTCAGGCCACCATTCATTGGGCAGCCTCAAAGCAAGCGATCCAAACCAAACTTCAACAACCACCAATTCTATAACCTTAGGATGGCAGTCTTCTGCTTTTTCTCACACTAAGGCAGTGGTTCTCAACCTTCCTAATGTCGCGACCCTTTAATACCGTTCCTCATGTAGTGGTGACCCCCAAGCATATAATTATTTTTGTTGTCACGGCCCTTTAATACAGTTCCTCATGTTGTGGTGACCCCCAAGCATATAATTATTTTTGTTGTCACTTCATAACTGTATTTAGGCTACTGTTATAAATCAGGCGACTCCTGTGAAAGGGTCATTTGACCCCCAAAGGGGTCGTGACCCACAGGTGGAGAACCACTGCACTAGGGCATTTCAGCCTAAATCTAACTGAGAATATTGGTTCCTTCAATCTGCTACAGGTGAGTTTGAGGTCAAGCCCAGTTCACTTATTTCCACCTTGAATCCTTTTGGTGTGGCCAATGAAGGATGTTATACACCTTGAAGGACAAAGTCTACAGTCTGAATAGTCTAAAACACACAGCCTGGGTCACCAAGGGCTGGATAGTAACTACGGTAGATCCAATGGGAACATAGTAATGGGTGTGTTCTTTCTTGGAGTTCTATATAAGTATTATTAAGCATTTTTCCCCCCAGTGAAGGTTGCTCTACTTGGTTTGCTGACCAACATAAGTGGAATTGCCTTTTCTGAGATGTGCATGCTCTTTTGCCCCTAACTTGACTTGAATTTTCAGTAAGGTTTGCTTATTAATCACTCTTGTAGGGGTGTCTGTTGATTTGGGGTGTCCTTAGCACAATGTTGTATGGCAGCAATGATCTTCTCCCTTTCCCCACGTCACAAGAAACTGAACCCGCTCTGTTGAAGTGGTTTTTAAAATGTACATATAAGGGCGAGGGGGGTTGATATAGTTCATGGGCACTAGGCAACTGTACCTTGTTGCTTAGGAGACCAGATGAGAAGATGCATGACCTAAGAAAAGAAGCCTGCCTTCATCTTGGTGTTTATCCTTATAGTAGTGGACTCATAGATTATTTGTTCTTTTGTGTTTGACTAACTTCACTCGGCATAGTGGTTTCCAGGTCTATCCATGTCATGAATTTTTTCATGGTTTCACCATTTTTAAGGGATGCATAGTATTCCATTGTGTGTATGTACCACTGTCCTCCAATCTTCTTCTGATGGGCATTTGGGCTATTTCCAGCTTTGTGCTATTTTTTTCCAGCTTCCTGCTATTGTGAACTGTGCCGCAATGAACATGGGAGAACGTTCATCGGTTCATGTTCTGTTTCTTATAGTATTTCTACTGCCAGTTGTTTTAGATATTGCCATATTGCTTTCCACAATGGCTGTACATATTTATAAGTCCACCAGTTGGGTACAAGAGTTCCAATCTCTGATCGCCCTCTCTTATCACCCTCTCCAGCATGTGTTGTTCTGCGTTTCTGAGGGTTTTTTTAATTGAGCTATCATGATGGGTGTAAGGTGATAGCTCATTATTGTTTTGATTTGCATCTCCCGCTTGGTGAGCATTTCATCATGTGTTTGTTAATCATTCGAGTGTCACCCCTTGTGAACTATCTATTCATGTCTTTTACCCATATTTAGGTTACTTGTTTGTTTGGGCTTTGTTTTTTCTTATTGAGGTATGATACTTAAGAGTTTATGTTAACTAGGTACCCCTGGCTAGAGGTAGAGTTAAACTTGTCAGTGAAGTTGTAGTCTGATGATACCTCCTTGATATCATAAGACTTTTGTATAGGAGCAAGGCAAACAAATGCTTTCTCTCTCTGCCACTTGGTCTTCTTCGTTGCTGGGACTTCACTGCAACTCTGCTTTCAGAGCTCCTGAGAGCTGCCAGTGCCCTGCCATGTTCCCTCCAACCTTGGATTCACATGACTCTGTACCCAATGGCCTGTGATCTTTCTGCTTCCCAGTTCACCATGCTGTACATGAGACTGAAGAGGGACTTAGGGACTTGAGTTGGACTGGGCTTAGATAACTTCTTGATATATAAAGTTAATTCTTAATATAATTCTTAGTATAATTTCTTGTACATAGATGAATGTCACTGGATTTGTTTCTCTAGACAACCTGGCCTAGCACAGGAAGTGTTGCAGAATTCTATAGATTTTAATAACCATTTTCTTATCCATTGTGTCATTGCTAAAGATTTTTTCCCAATCCATGGGCTCTCATTTTACCCTGTTAATGAAGTCTTTTGATGTCCATAATTGTTGTAATAGGTTCCAGTCATCCATTTTGTCTTCCACTGTATGTGTTTCCTTTATCATATTTGAAAGTTTGTGTATGTCCTGCTTTAGGGCCCTTAAGCTTGTCTCAATTTTCTCATAGATGATCCTTATAATTAGGGGTTTCACTTAGGTCTCCAATCCATCTTGCGTTCATTTTTGTGCATGGGGCAAGGTAGGGATCCTGTTTCACTCTTTTGCAGATGGAGATTCAATTTTTCCAGTACCATCTGTTGAAGAAGTCCTTTGTCAAAAAACAGTTTCCTGTAGGTGGATGCTTTTATTTCCAGGTTTTCTATCCTGTTTCATTGAGCTATGTTTCTATCATTGTACCAGTACCAAGCTGTTTTGACTACTGTGGCTGTGTAGTAGATCATGAGGTCAGGTTGTGCAAAGCCTTCCATTTTACTTTTTGAGAAGTTCTTTGTTTATCCTGGGCCTCTAACTTTTCCATATGACGTTGATAATTCGTTTTTCCATTTCTTTAAAAATGAGTTTTGGATTTGGTTGGAATTGCAATATATTTGTAGATTGTTTTAGGTACTATTGATATTTTCTTATCCATGAACATGGATATGTTTCCATTTGTGTAGGTCTCTTTTGGTTTCTTGTAATGTTTTAGAGTTCTCTGTCTACAGGTCTTTTGTTTCTGTGGTTAGGATTGTTCCTGGGTGTTTCTTCTTTTGTGTGGCAGTTGTGAATGGTATCGTTTTCTTGATGTCTGTCTGAAGCTCTCTTTTCTGGTATTTGTTTGTTACCAAACTCCTCAGTTGTTTCCAACCATCTTTTTGGGGAGTCCTTGAAGTTCTCTACATAGAAAATCATATAATCTGCCAAACTTCTTTGCCCAGTTTTATTCCCTTGATTTCTTTCTGTTGTCATGGTCTGGCTAAGACGTCCAGCACAATGTTGCATCAGAATAGTGATAAGGGACACCCTTGTCTAGTTCCTGTTTTCAGGGAAAATGTTTTCTGTTTTTTTTTCCTTCAAGCGTGATATTGGCTATTGGTTTCTTATATATGCCTTTATTAATTGAGAAATTTCCCTTCTATTTTTAAAATTTATTCATATATTTGTTTATATATATTTGTTTTTGTTTTTATCAGAATTGAGTATTGGATATTGTCACATGCCATTTTTGCATCTCTTAATATGATCCTGTGGTTCTTATTGTTTTGTCTTGTTTTTGTGGTAGACTATATTGATTGTTTTTTTTTTAATGTTAAACTATCCTTGCCTCCCTGGTATGAATCCCACTTGGTCAAGAATAAATTATTTGATTTTAATCTTTATTTCTTCGTGTCTGGTATCCTTATGAATTTGTGTTTTGCTAGGTATCTACTAAAGAAGATGATGAATTTTGCAACATTTGGCAGTCCTTACAAGGATCTGGAAAGGTTCAGAACTTTCAGCCAACTATTCAAGAGAAGGTTAGTTCACTTTGTTTGAAGGGCAGTTCATTCCGAGAATAATTTTTTCATACTTCTCTTTTAAGCATCCAATGATTTATTTTCTTCACTCTCATAAGAATAAAAGGACCATTAAAAAATTAATCAATAAATAAAAATAAAATAAAAGGATCATATTTACCATAAGTTTGTATATATTTTTTCTGTCATATATATAATTGTTGAATATATGAGTAGAAATTTAGGTAATTTTTCTCTGAATTCTGTGGGTTTTATCCAACTTGTTTTCAAAATTATAATAACTACATTTTTAATTTTTAAATTCTCAAGACATTTTTTAAGTCATTTTATTGGGAGCTTTTACAACTCTCTTTTTTTTTTTTAATTAAAAGGTCATCTTATTGGGGGTTCTTATAGCTCTTATAACAATCCATACATCAACTGTATTGATCATATTTGTACATATGTTGCCATCATTATTTTCTAAACATTTACTTTTTATTGAGCCTTTGGTATCAGCTCTTCTTTTTTCCCTTCCAACCCCTCATGACCCCTTGATAAATTATAAATTATTACTTTAATATTTTATGCCAACCGCTGCCTCCCTGCCCCATAATTTCTGTTGTTTGTCCCCCTGGGGGTGGGGAGTGAGGGTAAGTGTCGATCATTGCAATAGGTTACCCCTTCCTCCCCTCTTATCCCCACTTCCCCCTACCCTCTCGTATCACTACTCCCATTCCTGTTCCTGAGGGGTTTATCTGTCCTGGATTCTATGTGTCAAGGGCTCTTAGCTGTACCAATGAACATGCTCTGGTCTAGCTGGATTTGTAAGGTAGAACTGGGGTCATAATAGTGGGGGTAGGGGATTGGGGTGAGGGAGAGCATTAAAGAACTAGAGGAATGTGAGATTCACATTGGTGCTACACTGCACCCTGACTGGCTTGTCCCTTCCTTGTGACCCTTCTGTGTGGGAATGTCCAATTATCTACAGATAGGCTTTGGGTCTTCACTCCAACTCCCCTCGTTCGCATCAGTATGATTGTTTTGGACCTTCTGGTGCCCAATACCTGATCCTGTCAACACCTTATGATCACACAGACTGGTATGCTTCGTCCATGTGGGCTTTGTTGCTTCCCAGCTAGATGGTTGATTGGTTATATTCAAGCCTTTAAGACCCCAGACACTATAACTTCTTTTTTTTTTTAAAGCAAAAGGGAAGAAATTTATTGGAGCCCATACAGAAAACCCTAGAGGGGCCCAGCATACCCTACTGTGTAGGCATGCCCTGCAAAGGGTCATACCATTCACTGTACCCCCAAGTCCCAGAGGGACTCCACTTGAGTCGAGCCTGAAAGTCCCAGGACTGGCTGGGGGTGGGGACAGATACTGTAACTTCTAATAGCTGGGCACCATCAGCTGTTCAACTCTGTCCTACAGGGTCCCTCTGAATTAGGATTAAGTCAATGGCAGTGGGTTTGGGGGTTATTTTTATTAGAGTATATAGGTTTCTATTGACAATTGATTATCTTTAAATCTGAATACAGAAAATCATATTCCTTGATAAAGATAAAGAAGAGGAAAGAAATGCTATTACAGACAGAAAGAGGAAGGAAGAAGAAAACAGAAAGAATTCCTACTAGAATTTTTGTTAGTTACTGCCCTATCATCTCAACTCAGCCTAAAAAAATAGCTCCTCACTTATTCTAATATTTGTCAAGAACTGAGCTAAAGAGAGTTGCTCTCCCAGTGTGTTAGGCCAGGTGGACTAAAGAAACAAATCCAGCAACACTAATATATGTGTAAGAAAGAGCTTTATATATCAGGAAAACATCCCAGTCCAGTCCAACTCAAGTCCATAAGTCCGATACTAGTCCTTAAGTCCCTCTTCAGACTCACACAGCCACATGCAATGATGCAGAATGCAGGAAGACCACAGGCCGGTGGGTGCAGAATTGTGTGGATCCAGTGGTGGTAGCCACATCACAGGGCTCACTCAGGTCTCAACCTGGCTCATCAACAGGAAGGTAAAGGCAGAAAGAGAGAGGGTCTGGCCTTCAGAGAGCCATTTAGCTCGAGTTGCACCACCAAAAGAGGTCATCAAATTGTGACCTGATTGACACTCCACCCATATCTTCTTACAGGTGCCTGTTGGCACAAAAAACATAACTATCATACCCAGGTATAGAAGCTAAAAAAAACAACCACTGTCATTGAGTCTATTCCAATCCATGTCAACCCTGTAGAATGGAATAGAACTACACCTCTGGGTAGTTTCAGGAGCTTTAAATCTTTATGGGCGCAGAAAACCTTGTATTTCTCCCATGGAAGTGGTTTCAAACGGCTGACCTTGTGGTTGGTCAGCAGTCCAAAATGTAATCACTTTGCCACCAGGGCAGAGTTGGTCAGTTAGGACAATGAACCAAAGTGAAAATAATAATTAAACCTTTATTCACTTTTCTCAATAGTATAAGCAAAGACTAGAAAGAAGCTGCTGAACCTCCCCTCCACCCCCCCCCACCCCCCACCATTCTATTTTTTTGCCATTCCAGTAACACAAGTTACTGGCAAAAGTCAGCTATGTTAGTGTAGATGGAGGGGCCCAGGGGATCATCACACTGCTGAAGGGGCTTCAGACAAAAGGTTCTTGCCACTCAGAGGCCAGGGCAGGGGAGACAGAGTAAAGAGGGAACTTTGTAGAATGGAAAAAGTATCTTCAAAGGCCCCCATAAAGAGGTCTCCACAGAGGTTCCTGGGAAGGTGCCCCTAGATCTAGAGGACAGAAACTCTAGAAAAAGACATTGGGCAGGGTGCAGTATAGCACCGATGAAACATACAACTTTCCTCTAGCTCTTTGGTGCTTCCTTCACCCCACTAGCATGACCTCAATTCTACCGTACAAGTTGGATTAGACCAGAGCATGCACACTGCTACAGATAAGAGCCTGCAACACGGGGAATCCGGGATAGATAAACCCCTCAGGGCCAACAAGGAGAGTAGAGATACTGTAGTATTAAATTAAAAGTGGCAGGAGATTGTCTAATATATTTGGCAGATATTGTTCTGTGCAATGAAAACAACAGTGAATGAAGCAAAAATCTGGACGTTGTATAATTTGTCTTCTGGACATCATAAGCAAGATAAATCAGCAAATTAATGATACAATGACAAAATAATGCCATTGAGTCGATTCTGACTCATGGTCACCCTATAACAGAATATATAATAGAAGATAATATATATACATTTAAGAAATTTTTCAAGAAATGGGAATTGGGGTGGGGGAAATTATGTGTTGCACTTTTTACTGAAATTATCAGGTGACATATGAGCAAAGATATGAGTTAAATGAGTTCGTTTTCTGGGTATTTGAATGGGAAAGACTCCAGGCAAATTCAGAGGTCCTGCTGGGGTTCCTGTGTGGCATTCTCAAGGGAATACAAGGAGCCTATTAGGGCTGATGATTTGAATGAGCAATCGATCAAGAAACTACAACCATGACATATCAGTATAATAGAAAGACTCCCTAGGGGTCTTTGGGCATTGGCTTTTACTCTGGATCAGATGGAGAATTAATGTAGGATTTTGAGCAAGGGAAGGACATGATCTGATGTACATTTTAACAGAATTACTCTGCCTAGTCTCTGGACAATACAAATTTAACAGGGTAGAAACAAATTAGTGAGAAGACTACTGAAATTATCAGATGAGAGTTGATATTGATTGAACCAAGGTAGTAGAAGTTGGTGACATTTTTAGCATTTTGTAACATATACATTTCCAGCTGCTGGTGAACTGGATATGACCCTGAAAGAGAAAGAGAGGGTCTAGAGGAGGTGTCTATTAATGTCAGAGTAATAGTTGTTATTATTTGAAATGGGGAATGTTTCAGACCAAATAGTTTGTTGGTAAAGATCAAGGATTCCATTTTGGACAAATTTGATCAAAAACCTGTGTATGTTACTTTAAAACAAGGAAATAGGTGTAGATACAGAACAGGTCCAATAACTGAGCTTTAAGCATTTTGTCTTTAAAGAATCACACACAAAAATTGGTGAAACTGACAAAGAAGTAGCAACCAAGTAGACAAAGAAAACTAAGAGAGCATGGCATTCTAAATGCAAGTGCAGAGTGAGCGATCACCTGTGCCAAATGCTGTTGGTAGATCAATTGAGATGAAATATGAGACTCAGTCATAGCGTTAGCACAGGAAGATCAATGGAACCTTGCAAAGAGTACTTTCACTGCAGTGATGGGAATAAAAGACTTAATTGGAATGGGTTTAAGAAACAAGAGGAGAAGAAGAATTAGAGAATACAGTTATTTTCAAGGAAGTTTGTTCTAAAAGGACTCCTGGAGATCTAGTGGTTGCATGTTGCAACCACTAAACTAACTGCAAGGTCAGCAGTTTGAAACCACTGGCAATCCTCAGGGGAAAGATGGGGCTTTCTCCTCCCATAAACAGTAGCAGTCTCAGAAACGCACAGGTGCGTCCTAAAGCACTGTCCTAAAGCAGTGGTTCTCAACCTTCCTCATGCCGGGACCCTTTTATACAGTTCTTCATGTTGTGGTGACCCCCAACCATAAAATTATTTTCGTTGCTACTTTATAACTGTAATTTTGCTACTGTTATAAATCGTCATGTAAATATCTGATATTGTAGGATGTATTTTCATTGTTACAAATTGAACATAATTAAGGCATAGTGATTAATCACAAAAACAATATGTAATTTTATTTATTTAGAAATATTTATATCTAATTACAAATAAACAAAATTTTGTGTTGAAGCATAGTGTAGCATAGGTAACAGTCTTCACACTGGTCCTCTTCTGTGCGTGTATCTGCATGTGGGCGGACCCGCCAGGAAACAATAGAAGAGCAGTGTCTTGATTCTTAAGACCAGTGGAAATATGTTTTCCGTTTTCCGATGGTCTTAGGTGACCCTTGTGAAAGGGTCATTCGACCCCCCAAAGAGGTCACAACCCACAGGTTGAGAACCACTGTCCTAAAGGGTTACAATGAGTTGGTATTGACTCAATGACAGTGAGTTTGGTTTTTTGAGCTTGCCCTAAAAGGAAGCATTACCCTGAGCCCCTCTTACCTATCCAACTTCTATGTTTACTCTCTTACAACATTTCCCTGGAGACTTCCTTGAAATATAACACCAGCTTAATTTTGCATCTTTTTCCATATTTTCCACTGGTGGCTTTTGCATCCCTCTCTGCTACTTATCACCCAATCTTTATCTCCAGTTGCAACTTCAGTCAGGATCTAATTCATTATCTCCAGCTGGCTGTCCCACCATCACCTCAATTTAAAGATGTTTCAGAATCCACCTCACATAAATCCTCTTCCATTGTGTTAGACAGGGTTCTCTAGAGAGATAAAACCAAATTGCTGATAATATATTTATTTATAAAGATAATTAGATATATAACAAGAAATGAACTATTAAATCATATACAGATAAATATATAATACAAGAAAT